TATATATATATATATATATATTTCAGTTTATTTATCGTATTAATTCTGTTCATTTATATCTATCTGTATATATATATATATATATATATATATATATATATATATATATATTCTGTTTGATCATATGTATTAATGTATCTATACCTATTTGTTCATTCTGTTCTATCTATCTATCTATCTATCTATCTATCTATCTATCTATTGCACATTTCCCTGATTTTAGATGAAATTTCCCAATATATTTCAATATAATTTTCACTGTCAAAAATGATATATGAAAAAAAGTATCAGTTTTAATTAACGCCAGACTTATATAGATTAAACTGATGCCTAATTCTTCATATATTTTAACCATTTGCTTTAAACTTCGTATTTTCCAGATTTTATAGGAAAACTTGGAAAAATCCAAACATATTTCGTGAAATTTTCATTTTCCAAAATGATAATTTATAAGGAGAGCTGGTCTGATGATTTTGCTATATAATGTGCATTCAAAAAGTATCTGACCCTTGGGCATAAAAACATCAACTTTATACATTTCACAAATCACTTTCAAAATACCCCCCTTGGGTGTACCTACACTTCTCCCAGCGATTCAGCCATTATTGGTAACCCTTTTGAAATGCATTTACTGAAATGCTATGGAGCTCCACCGTCCCTTTTTTCATAATTTCCTCTCGCGATTCAAATCGTTTCCCTTTCAGCATGTTTTTTTTTTATTTTGGGGAATAGCCAGATGTCGTAAGGTGTCAAGTCGGGAAAGCAAGGAGCCTGTCGAGCAAGTGGTGTGTTGTTCTTGACCGGAAAAACTTAGATCATGTGTGCGGAATGAGAGGGCGGTTATCGACGACACTCTTAGCATGCACAAATCTTGCGTTAAAATGGAATGCACTGATCCTTTCTTCCTAATTCGTGAACAATTTCCTGGATTTTTACATGACTGTCTTCCTTGACAATTTGTCGAACCATCTTGAAGATGACCTGCCTTGCTCTCCACTGATGTACGGCCCTGTTTGAAGCGGTTGTTCCACTTCTTGATATGAGCTTTAGCCATGACATCGTCTCCAAAGGATTGTTGAATCTTCTGGGTGGTTTGAGCTTGAGTATCACCAAGCTTTTGGCAAAACTTGAAGTAATATCTCTATTCGATGTGGTTGGTCATTTTGCGTGAAAACAAAAATCCGACGAGCTCGCAGTACCCGGTGGCGAAATCCAAAGAATAATCTGCATCGTTATCGGTCCTGACCTGGCATCTCGGTTCCAGCCACTTTCCCACTGTCGTAACGTAGATTCTCTTTTCCATTTTATTTAAAATATTTTCACTGTAATGAGCTTTAATCTATGGTAAACTCGATTTCACAAATTTGAGCACGGTACTAGATTGGCAGTTAGGTCTCATAATTTCCTTACTGAAATTGTTGGATGTAACTATAAGATTTATACTACTACTACTACTACTAACAAACTTCAGTTTATTTTACCCACATTTAACTGACTGTGTTCATTGTATATACCAATGACTCCAAAATTAGCAACTAGGCCTGATCGTTTCACTTTTGAAATAGCTAGATCAAACCGTAAGTTCTATTCTAATAGTTTCTTTTCTCATATTTCTCGCTTGTGGTACTCTCTCCGGGCTTCTTGCAGTCTTGTCAGCTACAATTTTCTGTCTCCTTCTGAATCCTTTTCTTTCATGGCCTTTTCTGATTCTGTTGCGCTCAGTAACCCCTTGCCTCTTAGTGGCTTGTATCGCAATGCGTGATGTGATTTTTAAAATATTAGTAAAAAGAAAGTATAAGTTTAAACTGATCCCAGGAATATAGAGATGCCAAGAGAACAAAGGCAGCAGCAGCAGCAATAATGTTTTGTATTAAAAAGAGAATCCGTTATCACTGTAAGCTAGAACAAACGAACAGAGTTAGTCGGCAAAATAAGATTAGACAAAATTCGGAAAAAAAGTAAATTATGCTTACACAACATGGTTATCTCTATATCTTTCGCATTTAAATGGTTATAAATGTTTCTCATGTCTTTCTTTAAATTCGATTCTCAACAGAGGAACTACCTCTTTCAATGTCAGTGTTCCACCTAAAAATGAGAGTACGTATCCTGTCTTCGTAAAACTCAGCTGGCTAATGATAGTGAGGGTATGTATCCTGTCTTCGTAAAACTCAGCTGGCTAATGATAGTGAGGGTATGTATCCTGTCTTCGTAAAACTCAGTTGGCTAATGATAGTGAGGGTATGTATCCTGTCTTCGTAAAACTCAGCTGGCTAATGATAGTGAGGGTATGTACCCTGTCTTCGTAAAACTCAGCTGGCTAATGATAGTGAGGGCATGTATCCTGTCTTCGTAAAACTCAGTTGGCTACTGACATAGCCAATTCCTTAAAGTAGTTTTCACTTCTTTATCAACAATATAACTTTTGCCTTTTAGTACCCCTTTCATGGGAGCAAAAAATGAAAATCTGAACGTGGTGATGAAGAAGCGAAAACTACTGAAATGAATTAGTTTCATCAAAAGCCAAGATGTGCTGTGGCTTCCCTCTGTCTCTTCTACAAGTATTTTCACGGCAACTTTTCTGATGAGCTACTTTGGTTTGTTTCCAGACTGCGTGAATTTAACCGACCTACTAAGCTGCCATATCGGTCCCACCCTTTCACTGTCAAAACGGCTAAATTTAACCGTCTATTCTACTCAAACAGCTTCTTTTCTCGCACTTCTCGTCTGTGGTACTCCCTTTCCCCTTAATTTCTTCTCAGATGACTATAATATTCAAATATTCCAATGTAATGTCAATCGACATCTGGCACCTTGAGCTTGTTCCCAATCTTTCTCCGTATCCTTTCCTCAAACATGCCTCTTTACTCTTGTACTCCCAATCCTCTGTAACTCCTTATGTGCTAGTGGCATTCCCGCCTTGTTTGGGATGAATTGCTTTAAAAAAAATGTCAACATTCGCAGGTTGAACATTTCTATTGAAATTGATGACAATATTGAGAGATAGGGTTATGAACCTGTTATTTATAGCTATATCTTAATGTACGGCATGTTTGTTTTTTTCCTTTTTGTCTTTTGTTGAAACCATTAAATAGAGTAGACCTCTGCCACCTCTTCGTTAAAATACATTTTTATCAATTCATCCCAAGCAAAGTAATATTGCCAATAAGACACAATGAGGTTTTTTGGGAGTGAAAAAGAAAATAAAAGAAAAGGTTTTCAGGAAGACAGATGATGATGAAAGATTGTCGGTGGCAGGGAAGCAAGGAACTGGAAGAGAGTTCCACAGGCAAGAAGTGCGAGAGAAGAAATTATTAGAATAGAACTTACGTTTGCATCTAGCAATAGTAAAAACGATGAGAGTTAGAGTTGTGGTAAACCCTCATACAGTAGAATGAACTCTTCCTCCTCTCATAAATACAAACTGCGAGAGTCGGATAGGAGAGTGTAGAGTGAAGTGAAGTGGCCTGACGATTGCATCTAGCATGAAACAGACTGTCGCCTCTAAGTGTGGACTTCTATATTTACTTATATATATATATATATGCTGTTTAAATGTTTAATGTCAACGTCGGACGTTTCGGTCTAATAGACCATCTTCAGGACACATTCATAAAACATAATTAACATAGACCATATACAATTCAACATGAAAAAGACGATGGACATAAAAGCAATACGAATCCAAACAAATAACTGAAATCTTTTATAAGATCAGCGTTCCGTTTAAATATGATCACGTCGTCGTCGTCACGTTGGCGATGTTGTGAAAACGTATTCCTAAAATAAGACAATCCATCTATATCCATATATTTGCTTATATATATATATATATATATATATATATATATATATATATATATATATATATATATATGTAGAGAGAGAGAGAGAGAGGTGGTTGGTGGTTCGAAAGTTTTGTCACCCCTACCAAAAACTAATGAGAACGATAGAAGTCTAACCTCTTTTATTGCTATATATATATATATATATATATATAGATAGATAGATAGAGAGAGAGAGAGAGAGAGAGAGAGAGAGAAAGAAAGAAATAGAGTGGTCCGGAAATCTTGTCACCCAGGACGATAGAACAAGTAATACAGTAATATAAATCATATATACCGGATCAAGTTTTGTATCTCAAAAAAGAATACCCGCTCGACCCGGTGGCTAGGATCAAAGTGTAGTATCTGCGCTTTGTGAGCTGCCGGGTCGGGTGTCTGTCGAACTCTCTGCTTGCAGAGAGGAACCCGGACGAAGCTCCGCCGAAGGGTGGGGTTTCGTTCGGGGAGGTTGACGGAACTAGCCCGCTTGGACGGGTTTAGATGGGTTTTATTTTTGGCTGGGCCTACGGGCTCAGACATACCCACATTAAAAAGGCCTTGTGCCACATTCAATTCCTGTGGGTGAATTGATAAATACCATCAAGTTTATTCGCTTTCATTGACACTGTCACACACCGAGAAGGTCTGTAAGGAGCTCGTGTCAGCTATCCGAAATATAAAATGATATTATGTTGAGGTGACAAGACTTTCGGACCACGCTGGGTATTTATTTGGTCAATATACAACCAGAATTTATCCGTTCTCATGTTTGTCTGCTTCGCTTTTGGTAATTATTTTAAAACGAAGAGGAAATTTGTTTGGTTCGATATTTGCTAATTAGGATAAATTACCTACGATCGAATTTGGTTTCTGGCTCTGATATTGACCAGCTGAATGATCTGAGGAAAACCTTTATTTTAACAGAGAAAGGAACACACATACAAATAAACAGAGGTATAGAGAAACAGACAGCCACACACACACACACACACACACACACACACACACACACACACACACACACACACACAGACAGACACACAAAAATGTGACTGGGAGAGTTATATATAAAAGAAAGAGAGAGCGAGAGAGAGAGAGCGAACAGAGAGAGAAGGAGAAGGGTGTGTATTTTTTTTCCTCAAGTTTGAACAAATTTAAAATATGGTTTACCTGAACTTAATTCCTTTTCAGAGTAACGACCCCTCTCCACACACGCAGACATATGCAAATGGATAAAGAGAGGGATAGATAAACAGGGAGACACGCAGAGAGAAAATTGACGCTGAGAAAGAAAAAGTAAGAAAACAACAGAGAGACAGAAAAGAGAAAGAGAGAGAAAGAGAAAAAGAGGGCTAAAAAAAGAGGGGAATAGGGACAAAGAGAGGAGGGGAGAGAAATCAGTGTATAATTTCTTCCTCTAGTTGCTCGAATATCAAAAATGGCATTTCGGAGGGGGGCTGGCCTAAATACTGACGGCACACACACACACACACACACACACATACACACACACACACATAGCCCCTTAACCCCAACACACAAGCGAACAAGCGAAGAGAGGTATAGAGAAACAGAGAGAAGAGAGTTTCATAGAGAGAGAGAGAGAGAGAGAGAGAGACAAAGACAGAGACATTGAAAAAGCGAAACATGCAAGAAAATATAGCGAGACAGAAAGTGATAGAGAGAGAGAGAGAGATAAAGAGAGAGAGGGAAGGGAAAAAGAAGATTCATATGAAACATGCAGGCAAAAAAAAGATAGAGAGACAGAGATAGATAGATAGATAGATAGATAGATAGATAGATAGATAGATAGATAGTGGGAGAGAGCGGAGAAAAAGAGAAGAAAGGATAGAGAGTGGGAGCAGAGTGTATAATTTATTACTAAAGCTGTTATGATATCATAAATGGTTTAATTTTACTTGTTGCCTTTTCCCAGGTGGAGAGTTGGCCTAACGACTAAACCCCACCCCTAAACACACACTTTTAAAATAGACCCGCCCAATTCAAGAGGGCAACTGAACGAAGATAAAGAGAAAGAGGAAAGACACAGAGAGAAACAAAGAGGCAGAGAGACAAACAGAAAGATATACCGGAAAACAACGATAGACAAATCAGTTCGTCTAATGAAATCTCCCGGCCCCTTACAGTGAGTGAGGGTTTTAGCTATACATCAAAAGTCGTGTTCACAGGGAAAATGCGTGAAGCCATTCATTCACCCAACAAATCTGGATTAAATAGTGTGGTAGAGCAGACACACTCGGATTAGTTCTTTTTTTAATACTAAAATTAGGTTAAGTTGTATGATATGAATATAAGATTATTTACATTGTTCGGACTGTTGTCCTCATTTTTATTACTATGTGCACGACGTTTCGACCGTTGTACGCTCCGGTCTTCTTCAGGTCATTGGAATTTTGAACTGAACCATTTATTTCGTCCAGCAACGTAGATTGTTCTAGTTCCACGTGCAGATGTCTCGGTTATCTCCCTATAACTTTTATCTCCCCACCGTAGCCAAGTATTGAACTTGCAGCTCTTTGGGTCAAGGCATTGGAGCCAATGAACCCTTTTATCCAGAAATATAGACAGATAAAGAATATAATAGTAGGTGGTAGGAAGTTTGGAGGCTAAGGAGGATAGATACTATTTGACCCTTTGACCCTTGACTTAAAGAGTTTAAGATTGCAGAGTTCAGGTATGCATTCAGTCAGTTCTAAATATAAGCAGTTTTTGGGAAAAGAAACTTTCTTTTTACAATTGGATTAGGGGAGAATGATTTGACTTTGGATGTAGGGTGTCCTAGCTGTAAACTGATGTAACTAAAGAATGGAACTCATTTGAACATTTATCATGCAAATGGCGATAGAGCGGCAATCTAATTGTGGCGCTGCGCATGTGCAAAAGAGGCTGCAAAGCTGAAGAACAAGTCTTCCCCGTAAAGACCGCGCAAATAAAGGATTTTAAATTCTATCCAGGCTGGAAAGTGATGAGTATCAGTGGTTTAGACAAGGGTAAAATGCTACCTTTCATAGGAAGTCATGGAAATTTACAGATGTTAAAAGAAAAGGATATGTGGAGGGCCATGATCTCCGACGTATTGAAGAATCATAGCCGTAAAATAAATGTTTTACATAGGTGTGGAGCTGACTTAACGATACAAAAATAAAATAGACACTATGACTTCAAATTACAGCTGAGGAAGTTCGTGTTTATATTACATTAACGAATAGGGGCAACGTAACGGTTAGCAAGCTTGTCTCGCCAAAACAGTTACGACTGAGTAGTGAGTTCGATTCTCACTGGGTGCCCCATACTTTCGGCCTTGTGCCACATCTAAGCTACGCTTAGAAAATCATGGGAACCTCGGCGTGGTGTAATGGTTAGCAAGCTTGTCTTGCTAGATCAGTTACTACTGAAAAGTGAGTTCGATCCTCACAGGATGCCCCATGCTTCGGCCTTGTGTCACATCTAAACTACGCTTGGAAAATCTCTAGGGCACCTCGACGTGGTGTAATGGTTAGAAAGCTTGTCTTGCTAGATCAATTACGACTAAGTAGTGAGTTCAATCCTCACTGGGTGCCCCATACATTTGGCCTTGTGTCACATCTAAGCTGGGCTTAGAAAATCACTACATTAACGAATAGCAAGGATACAAAGAGCTTTGAATTCAGAGTTTTCCTTCTCCTAGACTGGTTACTGGTTGCCAACCAAAGCTACAGAGCCCAGAATGTCCTACTATTTAACCCATATTTAAAATTTTGAATTCAGAACTGTCATTCTCCTAGAACAACCAAGGCTATAGTGTTCCATAGCCCATTGGTGGGGGTCATCTTGGGTGATGGCGTCCGTTTGATTATAAGGTTGCATTTAACGGCCGGTGATCGCTAGTTGTTTTGATTCCAGAGATAAAAGAACTTCAACACATGGAATTTTAACTTAACTATTTATTTATTAACGTTCATGTTGACATGTTATATTTAACCAGTGGTGTCGCTCTCTCACTCCACTGGGGAGCACTTCCAGTCCCGAAAGGAAACTGGTTTACATTGTTTGATGTGTAAGAACCAACTCCCTGAAAAACCTTTCGCTATCTATCGTTCTCACGCTGGCTCAGCCAATCAAAATCGACTTCCTTGTCTTGTCTTTCCTCTGACGTCAAAGTTCAACCTCAGGAAGATACACATCCTCTAAAAAAATAATAGTCTGCAAAACTATTATTTAACAAAAAGACCGGTCTGTCCTGCTTTTTTTTACCCATAGCTGGATGGAGAAGATATGGATTTACACCTTTCTTAAATTTATTTGCACGTAAATGAATATAACGAACTCGACTGGAATTCGAACTCGGATCTCTCCGCTAACTATTACTTCACCGTGCCTCTTACTGCGTTAATGAACACGGGCAGTCCATACACTTCTCTTCTTTTAGTAAGTTAGGTCAGGTACTGGAGTGAACCTAGCGCAACCTGTCGCATGTTACTTGGAAAGGAGATGGGCGCTGCTAATTGTAGAGAAGATCGTCTCCACTAAGTGTGTACATTGCTCTTAGAAATACTATCACTGTCCCAGCGTGGTGTCCTTTCCATCTAATATGTCATCAGATAATTTAAATTATATTACTTTCCTTTCACTGCAAGCAAGACGGCAATACCACTAGTACACAAGGTGAGGGTACAGGAAGTTAAAGTGAAAGAGAAGACTGAGTATAGGGAGGATTGACGGAAGGACAAAAGGTGAAAGAAGTTCAAGAAGACAGAAGATGACGATTGACGATGCATTTCAGTTTTTATGATTGTAGTTATCAGCTAGTAATCGGAAGGGAGTTCCACTGGCGGGAAGCGCAATAAAAAAATGTTGGCGTATAAGTACTGGTTGCATTTAGCTATTTCAACAGTGAAAGGGTGGGACCTAAATACCAATCTAGTAGCACGCTCAAATTCATGTATTCGAGGTACAAGGAAGAAAAAAAAACTCGTCAGAGCAGTTACCATGAAAATATGTGTAGAAAAGTCAGAGGGAAGCTATGTCAGCTCGAAGAGAAGGTGACTGAAGTCGCGATGCCAAGTCAGGATCAATTACATTATAGATCGTTATTTGGATTTTATCAAGAATCTCGAGATGTACAGCAGACCAGATATAGGCAGAGAAGAATAGTAGATTTGTAAATGTGTAAGATGGATTCTGTCGAGAAAAAATGTCTGGCACGTCACAGGGACCCAACTTTTTTGGTGTTAAACATTATAAAACGTAACCCAATGGAAGAAGTACATTGATCGTTTCCCTGTACATCGTTAGGTCAATCTTAAGAGTAACATGAACAGTAAAATATAATACAGTTGAGAACCTCTGTCTATATTATTCTGATTACTTGCATTATTTACATTATTCAGACAGTTATCCTCATCTTCATTGCCATATTCACAACGTTTCAGGCGTTGTACGCTCTGGTCATTCTCAGGTGATTGGAATTTTGAACCGAACCCTTTATTTCGTCCATTTTATTTTTGGACTAAATAAAGTATTCGGTTCAAAATTCCAATCACCTGAAGAAGGCTGGAGCGTATAACAGCCGAAACGTTGTGAATATGGCAATAAAGATGACTATATCAGTCCGAATGATGTAAATAGTGCAAGTTGAGAACCTGTTTAAAAACGTAAATGAGAAGAGATGGTTACGTATTCTGAAATTCCTTTGGGAAGGAAAACGAACGCGACAGTTAAACCAATGATAACGCCACATTCCAGAGATGAAATGAAAGGTGTTTGAAGCCGATCGAAATTTATGCCACAGATACCTGAGTATCCAGTTATTTCTTTGTTTTCGTCGCGCGAAGAATAAAGAAACTGGACAACAAAAAGTGTCGTTTTAACGAGCATATAGTGCACTCATGGGAAAACTACAGCCTGCGGGCCTCATGCGGGCCGTTTGGTCTTTCTGAATGATACGCTAAATTTCATAAGAGAAACGTTTCTTAAAATTTGGTTCCGTCCTGTTCTCACTTTCTCACACACGCACTCTCCCATACATAATCAATATATAAACAATGATTAAGTACAGTGTTTCTTCAATGCCGTAAATTTTCGGTGAAAATAACATTTTAGACCATTGTTGATTTTCACTAAGGAAGTCCATATGTGTAAACATTTTCTGCTTTTCAAACCGGAAACATTCATAACAATTTTTTTTTTAAAAGGAAACTATGTTTTTAATATACAAATGAATAAATTAGAAATAAACGACATTACTGATAATATTATAACAATACTTCAATGTTTTAATTATAGGAAAACCTTTTACTGCAAAGAAAATAAAAATTAACTTACCCTCTATTTCTTGAGTATATGCTTACACATATGGTCTTCTATAGGGAAAACAGTTGAGGTACCTACTGCAAAAGAGTACCTTGAATCTTTTTAGATGCGCGGTCCTATGGGTGATGAACCATAGACATAGCGGCTCACTTCCCGTGAATAGAGATAAGAAAGCCGGATTATAACAGTTCGAGGATTCGTTATGATTATTTCTCTATCAGCGAGACAAAATACTTTAAAAAAAAAGAACATCTGTTTGAAAAAAATATTAATATTAGGCTGTTCAGAAAGTAAACACGTATGTCAGGGCTACGAATTATGAATCAATTGGACAAGTCAGAATCAATGTTGAATGACATAGAATTAGGTTATCACCACTTCTATGAGGGGATTCGGGAATAGAATTATTTTATCGCCTTTTCTATTAGAGGTTTTGGAAATAGAATTATTTTATCGCCTCTTCTACTAGAGGATTAGGAAATAGAATTATTTTATTGCCTTTTCCATTAGAGGATTTGGAAATAGAATTAGTTTATCGCCTTTTCTATTAGAAGATTTGGTAATAAAATTAGTTTATCACCTCTTCTATTAGAAATAGAATTAATTTATAACCATTTCTATCATCGACAAAAAGATGAAGAAAATGGTAAAATAAGGATTTTGCAAGAAAGGATATGAAAAGAAAATTTCAAAATTATTGCAACATTAAGGTGTATGGAATTGAATCTAGATAAACAAATGTATGATAAATTTATTTCACAATTAAGTAATTTGGAATATATTTGTATTTTTCCCCAAAGAATATAAAGTTAAATCTATTTAAACATTACTTATTTAAAATGTAATTACCTAGAGTTTCAACGAGTGCAGCCAAATGTGATGTTAGATTTTCGATTCTTAGTTTAAAGTAATGTGAGTTTTCTGCAAAAAATCCTTAATACATCACTTTCTTTCTGTTTTTGTCGGTTTCTAATATTTCCAGCCTTGAGTTTGATAGTGTCGCCGTTTTCGTCAAATACCTGAATATTTTTGTGTTGGTCTGTCGTATTTACCTGTCGCCAAAAACTTATAAATTGAATGTTGTTAGTATTGCTTAAACATAATGGTAGCTTCTTTAAGTAAAAAGTAACAAAACACAGAGGAGCGAAAAGACAGAGAGACACAAAGAGGGAGGGACAGAGAAAGAAACAGAGAGAGAGAGAGAGAAAGAAAGAGACAGAGAAAGAGAAAGAGAGAGAGAGAAAAAAAGAAAGAAGATGATTCGAGAAGAAGAAGAAGATGAAGACAAACGTGGAAATAACAAAGAAAGGAGGAGGGAAAAAAAGAACTCGGTAAGGAGAAGTGAAAAGAAACGATGAAGAGAGAAAGGTTGGTTTTCAATTTGTTTTATCTCAAACTCAGCTTGCCACAATTACTGACCCAAACTATACCAGAGTATTCCTTACACCAAAACAACACATTCTTACTTACCATTCTTACTACAGCCAGCATAATGCCTCAAGTCACTATTAACCATATAGAAAAATTCATCAGAACAATTACCATGAAAATATTTATAGAAAAGGCAGAAAGCAGCTATGTTACGGCAGCGTGAAAGTGACTGAAGCCGAGATGCTTGGCCAGGACGAATAACATTGCAGATTCTACTTTTGATTTTATCAACAATCTCTAAATAGATAGCAGATCAGATGTGTCAGCAAATATTTAAAGCAAGGACGAATTGCATAACAAAAACATTATAGACTGTATAGAGGCTTATAATATACACCCACCACTTCTAGTAATCTGTAAGTCCTTGGACTAATAGAATTTGTTCTTGTTTGTTCGTAAGAGAAAGAAACCTTAGAATATTAAAGAACGAACAAACAAACAAAAAAAGAAGCAACATTTAAAAATAAAGATTGATTCTACTTTCATTTTAATTATCAAATATCACAACTACGTCATAGAATCGTCATCATTTTTATCTCTTCCATTTGACGAAACGATTTCCCCAAATGTTTTCTGAATGAAAGCTGAAACGTAGATGTCAGTGGAACGAAGCCAAGACAGTGTTGGTAATGACGTCATTCACAAAGCCACACCTTCACTATGCAGATCATATCAAATAAGCTTGCGTATATGCACGTGAATAAACCAAGAAATTATTTGACAAAAAGTCGATGATAAAATGGTAGTAGGTAGATTTATATTCGCACTCAGTTTTCGTTCTTCTTCAACATCTATCAAAAAAAAAAGGCGTTACAATATCTGGATTTATTGCTCTACACTTTGAATGAAACAATTTTGTTTTTAATTATTCTGTGAATTTTATACATTAAAGTTATTAGCTTTTATTTTCCTATTGTACAATATATCAAGTTCACAATCTAAAACAATGTTTCTCAGACATTTTTACTTCAGGGCGAACTTATAGAATACTGAAATTCTTGGACACACTTTAAATTTTAATGAAGAAACATTAGTCATGAAACTTGAAAATACGACATTTTGGTTTAGTATCCCCAAAGAAGATTAACAGAACAGTTTTCATTTAAAAGGATTTATGAAGAAGTTTTTAGAAAATGCCGATAATGAACGATTTAAACAAAGACAAACAATTCCTTAAAGATCAAGGAATTTAGCATACCAATATCAAGTGACAACGAGTTCGACATGGAAATCATATGCTTGCTGTTTCCAGTTTTTTAAAATGAAAAGATAATTAGATTTAAAAATAAGTCATAAATTACTTTTCCTGTTTTGGAAAACATGCAGCCAACCTGGCTATCTTTTAGGTTACATGAGTACGCTCGGGCACAGCTGGCTGCTTTTTAGGGCACATTAATGCGGTTGGGCACAACTGGCTGCTTTTTAGGGCGCATTAGTAAGTTCGGGCACAGCTGTCTGCTTTTTAAGGCGCATTAGTACACTCGGGCACAGTTGGCTGCTTTTTAAGGCGCATTAGTGCACTCGGGCACAGTTGGCTGCTTTTTAAGGCGCATTAGTGCACTCGGGCACAGCTGGCTGCTTTTTAGGGCACATTAGTGCTCTCGAGCAGACCGGACTGCTTTTTAAGGCGCATTAGTGCACTCGGGCACAACTGGTTGCTTTTTAGGGCATATTATGTCGCTCGCGCACAGCTGGCTGCTTTTTAAGGCGTATTAATGCGCTTGGGCACAGCTGGCTGCTTTTTACGGCACATTAATGCACTCGGGCATAGCTGGCTGCTTTTTAAGGCGTATTAATGCGCTTGGGCACAACTGGCTGCTTCTTAGTGCCTTTTTAAACGCTTGGGCACAATTGACTGCTTTTTAGGACGCATTAGTGCACTCGGGCACAGCTGGCTGCTTTTTAGGGCGCATTATGGCGCTCGAGTGCACAGTTGAGAAACGCTAATATAAAGCTTTAAGAAATTCGCAACGTTGGAGCTACTTGTAGAACGGCAATAGCTTTCAACTGTTTTAAGACTCACGTTTCATTTGGTTTGCATGTTAAAGAAAATATTGTTCCATTCGGAAGATGGCGCTAAATGGTAATGGTAAACACAATGTTAACCGTTTCCTTATTAGTTGACATTCGGCATTTATTGACTGAGCAGCTTTTTATTTGTACTATTGTCAGTTGAAATTGATGAAAATTTTCTCTTAAAACAATTTTCAAGTCTAGTGGCTGCAAACATTCTTTCCAGTATCGATTATGGGATTCCATCCTAGATTTTCGTTTGAAAAAGTGTGGAACGTCAATATCATTATCATGATCTCTTCGAGTTATCAACTCATCCCATGTGTTCTGTCCGAATTTTAACTTTTTGTTAAAATGAATGAAATTTAAAGAGTATTTTATAATGTCTATTGGAGCTGAACATTATTTTTATGTTTAGATGCACTTAAACTGATCAAATTTTATTTCAGAGAACAATAAAATTAAATTTTGTTTGATTAAAACCCTGCTAACATGGAAGTACACAAGAATCATTTCAGGCACATAATGCTTTATGAGTTCAAGAAAGGAAACTCAGCAGCCGAAGCGGCTAGAAACATTCACTCAGTTTATGGAGAGGAATGTGTGAATGAAAGAACTTGCAGAAGATGGTTTGCAAAATTCAGAGGTGGAGATTTCATCCTTGAAGATGAAGATCGTACCGGACGTCCAGTTGAGTTTGAGGAAAAGCTTCTTGAAGCAGCACTTTAAGAAAATCCTGCTTTATCAGTTGAAGAATTGGCAGTGATTCTCACTTCAAACCATACAACTGTTCATCGTCATCTTCAACAACTTGGAAAAGTTCCTAAACTTGGAAAATGGGTGCCTCATGAATTGTCTAAAAACAACCTCAAATCCCGAGTAGACATCTGCTCTTCTCTCCATTCTCGCCAACTTGTTTCACCTTTTTGGGATAGACTTGTGACTGGCGATGAAAAATGGATCTTTTATCGAAAGCGTCGTAGACAGTGGCTTGGTAAAGGGGAAGGACCCCAGCCACAGCCGAGAAGGGAACTTCATGGGCAAAAGGTTCTTCTTTCAATCTGATGGGATCGCCAAGGAATAATCCACTTTGAATTCTTACCACCTAATGCAACAATTAATGCTCAAATATACTGTCAGCAATTAGAGCTTTTTAACCAAGCTTTGAGGAAAAAAAGACCTGCTCTAGTGAATCGAAAAGAGGTGATGTTTCCTCAGGACAATGCGCGACCCCACACAGCAAGAAACACGTCACAAAAGATCGAAGAACTTGGTTGGGAGAAAATTCCTCATCCACCTTATTCTCCCGATCTTGCTCCTTCAGACTACCATTTGTTTGGTAGCTTACAGAATCATTTGGAAGAAACAGCTTTTGTAACACAGAAAGAGGTTAAAACTGACATTTGTGAGTTCTTCGAATCAAAGCCAAAAGAATTTTGCAGTAATGGAATTAGTAAGTGTTGAAACTTGACTAATGCATGGAATAATAATGCAACACAAAATGTACTTAGAACAAAATGTATTGAAACAAGAAAGTGTACACAATATTTCATATAGTCTTTTGTATATTCCTGGTAAGACCGTTCCTGGAGAATGTGTTGACTGAGTCGCAGTCGGGAAGAGTCTCTGGTTGAATCTCTTGATTCCTCCCTCTCTTCCCGGTACCAACCATATTTATATGGTCGGTACTCCACCATGCAAATTAAGTGGATCCTACCACAACAGTAAGCTTGTTAATAGATGGAAGGAAGTCATAGATAATCAGGGAAAATACATTGTTGATTGAATCTGTAATTAAATGTAACATT